CCCCAAAACCCCAAAACCCCAAAACCCCAGTTTGGTCCTAGGTGTTGTATAATATTTTAAATAAAAATGGAACCTTTGGACCAGATGGATGCCCTAACATGAAGAGGTGAATGCACCAGGTACGGAATTAAGTCTCCAGGTATCTCCTCCTTGCTACTTCTTGTATAATGCATGCTAGTCAGAGTGAGACTTGGGGGAATCAAGAGGGTGCCAAGGAGTATCTAGTATAGAACCAAAGCTATAACTAGATTCTTTAGCAAATTATCTTGAGAAAATACTGCCTAACAGATGGTCGGGGTTCAAATTTATGTGTTACTGTGGGTTCAGAACTTTTGATAGTAGCTGAAATTGTTGCCATCGTAAAGTTTTAACATGAACACCTTGCGATTACTTCCTTTTCATTGGTTCTAAACTACATATTCAGAATCTGTTAACATCTAGCATAGATTTGATCAGAGAAAAGCTGATGAAATTAAAAAGTAAGCTTTCTAAAACCCCAGAATGTATATCTTCTGCAATCAAGACTTTGTAGAAAGAGCATTTTCTACTTTTGACAAATCTCCAGAGTTCATAATATGCTTTCTCTTCTGGATTAATCTCCTAATCTTATATCTGACTTAATTTTCACCGCTATACTTAGATATTATGAGACAAATATATTTAGAAGAGAAGAACAGATCCAGAAGGATTCAACAGAGATCAACACTCAAATCTATGCTAATCTCCATTTGAACATCAAGAAGCTCAGCCCAATATTTCAACCAGACCATCATCTTCGCTTCAATCTTGATTGATCCAGGTAATTTCGCTAAATTTATAAATATAGTGATAGACAAATGCTAAAACAACTCTCTCGCTTTGTGGTGTCTCCAAAATCAAAAATTTCGTTCTTATATAGCCTTCACACCAATAGCCATTTGAAAGAGTTCTTTTCTAAATCCATTCCTCCCAAGATTAAAGAGATTAATGCCTCAAGCATCAAATTTGATAAATCTCCTTCGTACTTCAACTTGGTTCTCCGTGCAATCATGCACACAACAGCAAGTGTGAAGGTGAATAGTTTTAGGAAGTAAGCTCGATCAAATATCTGTAGCCTGAACATGAAGCAACTCAAGAGACTGTTCTCAGCCAATAAGCATACCAAATCACTTGCAATGTTCAATTGCTCACTTCGTCTTCCAGCTTGCCCTGACTTTTCGGACTGATTCAGAGGCACAACTCTGTCCGAACTTAGGTTGTATTATGTGAAAATGACAAACTGAGATGAGTCTGATACAAACCTTCACAAGCTGGACAGACTTATTTCAGGCTTATCTAAATCCCCAGACCTTCATAGAAGCATTAAGAGGATTGAAATCTTTGCTATTAAGACCACCAAAGAACAAAACGATCAAGCTCTATTGAAGTATGGGTTTCCTTATAAGTAAACAGCCTCCAATATACTTGTCTTCAGATTTGTCAATTATTCCTGTCTTAGGGTTCGGGATGGCTAAAAACCACTTAGAACATGCTAGATAGAGTTTAGCCTTGTACAGTGCGAAGACTTGCCTTTATTTTTCCCTTAAGTAATGTAAGAGTAAATATTTCCAGACAACAGACTCAAAGTATCCATGCTTCTCAGGCAAACTCTCCAGAATGCACTAGGTAGTCATTTGGGATAAACCAAGGGGCTGACTTAAGGGGGGTGTCTGTTCATGCTCAGCCAGGAACACGACAGAAATATTAGTAGTCCATGTCCTCTGAAATTGATGCTTAGCAGGAAAGTTTACAACTTTTAGGCCAGAAAAATCTTCCTACTTGATTTCTATTAGGAAAGATGAGTCAGTCAGAATAGTTCAAGCAATAGCCTGTTTCTTTGTCTTACTGAAGCCATGAATCCTATAACTTTAGGAAATAATCAGTGGACTTTATAAGTTCATAGGTGCAAAGATTCAGCCATCCAAGACTTTCCTAAGAGTCGTTCTTCTAAATCCTCCTGAATGAAATACTTAATGTGAGCAATGTACAGCAAAATTAATAAGCTTCAAGAAATTTAGCATGTCTTTTTAGTAAACTGACTAGGTTAAAATTTAAAACCCATGGCTTCTCTATATTTTAGGGTATAAGCCATAAAGGGTACCATTAATCAGAATGAACTAGACTTTTAAGTACTCTTAGATACTAACTTTGTTAAGCCTCATACAGATTTCCAAGGATAGAATACCCAAAATAAGAGCAGGAGAATCGTTGCTTATAAACAACGAAATAAAGATGGATTTATGAGCTTTTACTAAACTCATTCACTCAAGCTTTGATATGAATTCCAGATCAGAAGGGCTAAAGGTAGTCTAGCTTAAGTTTGCTCAGTAACGCCTTTAAACTATTAAAGTGAGACTAGATCTCTATTCTCCACTCTCCTTTGTCCTGGTACCTCATTTGGTCTGAAATCAGCCCCCTTGCTATAAAAGCTACATCTGAGGCCTGCAACTTAACATGAGGGAATAATGAAGGATTTGCTTACCTCGCGAAAGCCTTCCTTTAAATTTTAGGATTCAGACATCAAAGATAATTGTTAATAAATATATTTAGTACTTATCCCCAATGCTGCCCATTAGTCCTGGGGTTTTGGGGTTTTGGGGTTTTGGGG